ACAGAGATTGCACTCTCTGCAAACATTTGTTACAGTCTCATTTGCACCTGGATGAGAGATTTTATCTTCCCAATCTGGTGGTTTAGCATGCATAATACCATTCTTATTGTTGTCACGTCAACTTAAATAAAAACTACCGTCTTATTTTACAGGCCTGTTCTTCGATTTGCTCTTACCTGAACACACATTGCGGAAAACAATCATATGAACGGAGTACCATTTTTGATGTCCATACAATGTAGTTATTGAGAGAACTACTGCTGTTCAATTCATTTAATTCTTCTAATCAAAGTGGTTCTGCATTGCTGAGTTCACAATTTGCTATTTGTATCTACGCTGTGTGTTTCCCCTTATTTAAAAGGATGTGAAAAAAACTCTGAGTGAGTGTTATTGGTCCACTCAAACCCTGCATGCAACACTAGATGTAGAATAAGCAAAGCAAGTGCAGACTGTAAAGCTGCATGAAATAGTTTGTTTTTTTCCCAATAGCTCTACAAACTGTTCCATCTTTAAGAGCAAGCCCATAATAACTATATAAATGTATACACTGGTGTTAAACTCGTGCAGCAATTTGAGACATTCAATCGAGCTAAGACTTCACGAAGTGGAAGAACACTAGGGAATATAACTGTAACAAAAAAGGGCAAGCGAGGGCTATTTTATGTGCTTTGAAGAATATATCCTGCAAGCGTTTTGTCAACACTTAATCTATTGAAGTTCCTGCTGGTTGAATCCTTATATAGAGAGGGAATTGATCCAGACAATACATGAACAAATGAAAGAGATATAACAAGTAAGCAAGAAACGCTGAGTCAAGATCGACAGTCAACAAAGTAGGAAAGACAAAATAAGGATGAAATAAAGGTGTGATTCCCACGAGAGTGACACCGATCACAACCCACACAGGAGGAAGACGAAGCAAAAAACAACAACAGCAAACAATGTGGCAACATGGTTCTGGCTGTGCTTTGATTCTTCTGTGTGTACCTGAGGCTTACATCAACTGTCACTACCACCACTACTGGTGGAATAGATCTAATCATTGTCCCAGGTGGTAAAGTGTGTGGACAGAAAAAAAATGTGTTTTCTATGCTGTGGTTTGCATATTCATGGTCCATAGCTTCATTTGTTGTCCCAAATGTTATTTATATACAGCAGCGTCTTAATAAAAAACAAAGCCAGCGGGGCTTGAGGATCAGGTGTCAAAGTATCACATTAATTAGAGCGTGTGTGCACTCATCCATGATTGTATCTGCAGCCGCTGGCCATATAAGTGTTTGTGAGCATGTAAGAGTGTATGTCGGCTTATCTATGATCCGGTGGCTGCTTCAGTCAAGTTCCCCTCAGGCATCAGTTTTACCTGACTGCACACTTTCAACAGAGCGAAGGTTTATTACAGTATCAGAGTTTTGGGCTGATGTGCGTAAAAGCCACGCTTGAGGAAAGAAGGCCTTTCCCGACACTAAGAAGGGTTTAAAAGGATTCTTCTCTTTGTACTAACATTGAAAGATGAGGTAATGTAATTTAAATAAATGCTTCATAACAATTTATTGGACTGAGAAAATGTGTCCAGCATTGACGATAAATGTATAAACTTTAAATATAACGTGAAAGAACTTTGTACATTGTCTCTCCTGATTCTGGGTGTATTCAGTAAAATATGAATTACCTTCTGTAAGTCATTTTGCACTCACTCAGGATCAGCTAAATGTTATCTTGCAAGTGGGACTGAGCGATAGCAGTAAAAAAAGGTTTTCTTTTCTTCGTCTTTTGAGAGTGAGACATGAGTCATGTAGTGAAAGGATGCCTCAGCTTCGGACTGACTGATGAAACACTCACAAAATCATCCAGCTTCAGAGGAAACCAAACCATTGCTCATCGTTGCAAGAGAGGATTTAAAACGAGTTCGACAATTGCCATGACATGCAGCAATCCATGTTCTTACCCTTAACCTTAAACTAATTCAAACAACTGAATTATAAATAAAGGTGGAACTGATGGTACACTTAAAATCTCTGCGTAGAAATGCAATATAATGTTGATTTAAAAAAAAAAAATCAACATTTCCAGACATCTATTATTGAATGTGTGTCTGTTGCTAAGAGAATGAATGGTGTCTTGCGATGCTAACGCTCTAATGTAAAAAATGCAACAACAAAAAAAGCGACTGGCTGGCGGTGTAGGGTGTGGGCTTACCTCCTGTGGCGAGCTCCGACCTTCAGCTTCCACATAAGCGGTGAGCTAAAGCACACAGTCGCTTTCTTAATTTTTGTTGTTGTGACAAGTTGGTCAAACAAAAAGGAACAAAAAGGGGAAGTAGTGGATGTCCATCTACTTGTTGCTGCGACGTCAGGTCACACAATGGCTCAGCGAAATGGAAAAGACGACTTTTTCTGTAAGACTTAAAGGAGCAACCTTTAAGAAGCGAGAGAAATGGACAAACTTTAGCAGAGGAGGACGACACCATCTTCTTGTGACTCTTTTGCACATTAACAGACTTCAATCTTGATATACGATCATTATTTTAGACTTGAGGTGCCCCCAATACAGTTTAAACTTTTGCAGCTTAAACAGAAGATTAACAAATGTTTAAGGAGAGTAGAAGAGACGTGTGTGTTTTAGACTGTGGTGGAAGATTACTGAGAGCTTTTATTGAGAACTTCTAGTTCCATGTCCTGCTGCTTTATATTTCTAGTACATATTTTGTCTCTCTCCTGAGGGGAAAAGTTCTGCTTTTTCAACTCACAACATTTGACTGATGACTTCAAGCTTTCTTCACAGAGTATGCTTTTATATTCATATGCTTTTTATATTTGACCACCAAACAGCACAAGCTCCAGCCTTCACAATAAAAGCAAAATAGTACAAATTCTCAGTTATATTAGGTTGAAATAAAATATATTATATTAACTGATTAACTTCATAATAGGGGAGTTAATTTAAAAATGATGATATATCGTCATTATTATATTATAATTCTTGTCGTATTATTCAAGAGTTCACTTATGGAAATCTGAATGATACAATTTTGCTTTTCAAAGTAAATCAGGGGCACCGATGTATGATTAGAACGATAAAATCAGTTCTCTGAATAATTTTCCCTTCATTGTTTTAATTTGATCTGCCTTTTCACCGTCTGGTAACAAACCTAAATCTCTGCTGTTTGTTTCTGTTGTCAATATCCAGTAATTCAAAGATGGTGAATTTTAAGGATAAGGGCGTTTTTTTTTTTTTTTTCATTTCCTGGATGAAGCTTGGGCTCAGGTCATGCCCAAGCAAAATGAGCTCTTATCCAGAAATAATTATTTTTGCACTCTCATTTCCTCCTCCTTCACTCAATATTGGTTTGTTTTCTCTTGTTTGTTGTATTTCCACCATGATTCCTTTCTTGTAACATAGTTTATTTGTGTCAATGCGTCTAATTTGTGCATCCAAACATTATTGTCCCTTCCTTCTTCCTGTTATTTCCTTATTTATACTTGTTGACACTCTATATTTGTTTCTTGCTCTCAGTCCAATCACGTGCAGTATCGCACCCATTTCCACATCTCCCCATCAGCCGTGTCGCCACAGCGACCTTGAGCAGCAGGCCGCTGATTGGCTTCAGTGTTGATGATTTGTAGGTCGTGAACTCCGGCACTTGGAATTAATGGACATTGTCGCACCACAACAGGGCCCTCGACACATACACGCATACGTACGCAGATGCCACAGCTAGTAATAGACGGTCAATGGGAGTCACAGCCTTAACAAACCTAATTATGTGAACTAATGACAGCCATCAGCTGGGGAATTCTCACTGTGCTACACAATAACATCCGCACTCAGCAGCATTTGGTCATGTGAAAGCTAAACAGGAAGTGTGTGTGTGTGTGTGTGTGTGTGTGTGTGTGTGTGTGTGTGTGTGTGTGTGTGTGTGTGTTATAATGGACAAAATGACAATGTCCACTGGCATTACTAACTGTCCTGCAAGTTTGACAGTTTTTTTGTGCAGCCAGTGGCAGCTTTAGGTACAGTCGAAGTGCACACACAGCCCTCCCTGGATCATGTTCACACATATGCACACACAGCACTGGACACACAGCAGCTGCCTGTGTACAATAACAAGCTGCAGGTGTTCTGATTTGACAGCACTGTGCAGGTCAAACTTCATACATCATGAAGAAAAACCACAAAAATGATGACGAGAAGAGCCTGAAACTGCCAAAACACAGCACTGATACTCCACAGACACACACTAGTACACACTCAAACATATTGTGGAGACTATATCACTGTATATACAAGCACAGACACAAACAATTATTTTATTTCCTTTTCAGCCAAGAGTACACAAACAATGGTTCTCTTTGAGATATATTGCTCCTTGGAGTATAACAGCGTGTGATCAGAGCTTAAAGGACGCTTAATAATGCCACAGTGCTCTCTACAATATAGATACTAATTAAACACTTGAGGTTGTCCCTGTTGACTAATATAGAGCTGCGATGCTCCAATAAAGCTTGAGACAATTCACAGTGATGCGTTAAATCAGCAAACATTTTTGTCGGCAGGTCTATTTAGAAAAAGACGGAGGGTAGTTGATTTTAAGCATTATGTTGTTTTGAGTAGTTTTCAGAGAGAGTTTTCTTATCAATGAGTATTTTAGCCTGCATCAAACAAACAGAGGAATGAATCTCAGCAGGATTTGATGTTTTGCAGATGAGAGAAGAATTATGAAACTGAAAACAACATTTTGTTAGAAGGGGAAACGTAACCCTGCTGTGTGCAGGTCAAACCCATCTTCTTAAATTGTAATCCTCCACTTGCTGAAATCTCTTTCATGTTAGTTTTTTTTGTCTGAACAATTCTGCCTGATTAAAACCATATCCTTGAAAATGTAAAAAGGAATGCTTTTGGTTATCAGGCATTTTGAGCCTTTTTTAATTATTTGTTTTGGGGTGAAAACATGGTGGACAGAGTTTATATTAAACGCAACAATCAAAAGAGTCAAAACTTACCTGTGCATTTCTTCAGGCTTCCAGGCCGTTTACCGTGCATCCCCAGTTTACAGTTGAAGTTTTCCTCCCAGAATTCAGCAAACCAAACATTCCTTCTGTTGTTGGACAGCGAGCGGCTACGGAAGTAGCGATCAAATGCTGTTTCAAACACAGGGAGGGTAAAAGTTAGTCACGGGACCCTGTCTGAATACCCACACCTCTAGCAAATATTCCGCCCTTCATTTCCACTAAGCCTGTCTGGTCCTAAGTAGAAGATGGTTATTGAAGGTTTTGCGAAATGCAAAAGAGCCGAGTATCCTTTGACTTTGAAGTATGACTGAGGAAAAACTTTCTGTGGAGCCGTACAGTATTTCAGCTCCTATCAAATTCTGAAGCTGGGAGCAAGGAGAGCAAACATTTTAAAGTGAGCTTTCACAGTCTAAGTTGGCTACTTGTCCAATTTAATAAGTAGCAAGGAGAAGAGAAACAGGGTAGAACATACTTCTCCACTCGCAGGAGTGGAAATACCTGTCAGAGGCTGACAGGCTGAGATAAAGAGATGGGGGAAAGGAAAGGGATTTAAAGAAGACACATACACTGGTTGTACATGTGCTACCTGGTTTATACTACAACTATTTGAGAAACAACCTTTTGGACTGCGTAAATACCCCATGAAGACAACAAATAAGCATTTATGCTTTACCTATATAAATAAAACATCATTACAAATAGCATTGAGGTTGCTCCTTTGGGCAGCATTGTACAGGTTCAACAAACCACAGAGGGAGGGGGGGGGATCACTGGGGACGCTCAGACTGACTTGGACAGGCTGTGTCCCACCTGACACGCTGTAAAGCTGACAAGAGCCGCCTTGATTAATCTCCTCTGCTGTCAGGGAAATTGGTCCCATGTGCACCTGGGTAGCACAGTTGATACTAAGACTGCTGAGAACAGTAGGTTCGCGCTCTGTGTAGCTCAACAGGTAGCACATGTCATCTAGGGTCAAATGCTTCTCATTGTGATCGCAGGTGTGACAATTGTAAATATAAAAAAAGCACTTCTGATTCTTTTTGGGGGGGTGGGGGTGGAGTATTATCTACCTGACAGTGGAGACTCAGGGTAACCAAAGCTCATATTTAGATTGAATGTAGAAATTGTACAGGTAAATCTCCTGCTCTCTAACTCAGTGTCAGCAAAACATTCTTGCATTTTAAGCATCATATACATGTAGGTTAGGTATGATATATACCATGATCATTGTATAAAGTTTTGCCAGATTGTCAGGTGAACATTTTAAACTGGTAACGGTGTATGCACTAAATCATAAATCCCCTGCTGGTTCAATCTCGCTCAAAACTCCTCCTGAAGACCCCACAGCGTGTTTCCTCATGTCAGCCAGGAAAAGCTGACTTTGATTCATTTAAACTTCCTCGTAGGGGCTCTCTCTCCCTCCTCACTTTCGGTTTATACCTTGTCGCGCATGTGTCCCTCCAGGAGTCAATTATCTAATGTAGACCTCTGACAGGGAGCAAATGAGGATTTCCTGCCCGGCCTAATGGCAAAACCTTGTTTCCTGCAGGGATCAAGACTAAAGGAACATGCCTGTATTTCACTTCTTCTTGCAGGTCTTTAGGCGTCCCCTAAATTAGTTCTATTAGACTTCAAACACACACACACACACACACACACACACCTAACTTCAGCTTTCACTTGTGTTTGAGATAGACAGGTATGTGAACAAAACAGTGTCGTTAACTTACCGTCCACCGATGCTCGTTTGGGAAGAATGGTGATCGCTCCTTCCGCCACTCTCTCCTGGCCAATCACAGGAGAGATTTTGGAACCCCAGCTGTCTGAGCCCACCCACAGGAAGTGACCTGTCTGGTTGTTCTTTTTTGCTGCGTCCAGAACTCTCCTGTTGGAGAAAGAGATCAGAGACCGAAAGAAAGCAAAAGTCAGTCAGTTGCATGTACAAATCTCAATGTAAGTTGCTGCAGTTAAAAGAGGTATCAGAAATATGATAAGCAGGGTCAGCCAGAGACTTGTTAAGCTGTGTATCACGTACCGTATGTCATCCTCATTAGCGAACATGATGACGGCCCTGGCGTTTGAGGTTTCTAGCAGGCGTCTGATGATCTTGTCAAACTCCCCGGGCTTAGGCTCCCTGGGGGATCTTCAAGGACTGGGCGATACACACACCACCTGGGACAGAGCAGAGAAAGGGGGTCAGAATGTTATTATACTTATAACCATTTAGCTGTTCCCTCTTGATTCAGCTGGTACGGTCTAGTACTAGCTGAAGTAACCTTTGAAAAGAACACTCTTTTCTACTTTCTACTGCATGAAGCGATGTGGGTTTTACACTTCCAGCGGCCTCAGCACTCTCTGATAAATATACAGTAAGTGGATGTTTAGCGTAGCAGCAACAGCCGCCATAAAAAATTCAAGATAGTCTGAGAAAAATCCAAACCGCATGATGTGGTATTACAGGGAAATGATTTTTGGGAAACCAAAGCCCAACAGAAACGAGCAGTAATACAAGAAGTATTTATGATATATGAGGATCACAGATTGCAAAATGAAACATTTATTGCAAAACAACATGAGATAAGAGTCGGAGCCATGGTTGAGATGAGACGGTAAATGATAAATGGACTTGAGCTTCTATAGCGCTTTTCTATTCTTCAGACTACTCAGAGTGCTTTTACACCGCATGTCAAGCCTACCCATTCATACACTGATGGTAGAGGATACTATGAAAAGTGACCATCAGATGTAACTCATCCTATTTATACACATTCATACACCGTCGCTGAAGCAGTGAGAGCAACCATGGGGTTAAGTGTCTTGCTCAAGGAAACATCGGATATGTGGCTGTCGAAACTGGCGATCAAAGAGACGACCGACTCTACCAACTGAGCCACAGCCGCCCAAATGACAATGAAGGAAAAACATGGTAAACAGTAAATACAGGATTGTTGAAAGGTAATGAAAGAAAGGGTCTGAAGGGAGGATTGGATGGAAGAGAAAAACACAAGCTGGTAGGGTACGTTAGGGTACGGTCGGGTGTGGTGTGATTCAATGCGATATAAGAACAGCCACAGAGAAAACAGTGAAACAAGATAGGGAGATGAATGATTATGAGTTCATATCAGATAACTGCACAGAGCCAATAAATATTCTCCTCACCGTCACACTCCTTTGTTTCCTATTGTTCAGCATTACAAGAATAGCCCTGACAGCGCTAATAGTTACTCACTCACAATATGAGATCAGGACAAATGGTTTTGCTCCCTTTCACAGAGACACACAGGAATCATTGTTGAATGACTTTCACTTGTGAATTAACGGGCGCCCATATAAACAAGCGCATACTCCTCCCCTCACGTACACAAAAACACACATGGAGAGATAATCCCACATCCCATTCTGCTTTGCACTAATCCAGACTTTCTATTTAAGGTCTGTTCTATTAATTAGCTCTGCTTCATTAGATCATTAGCCCGGCTAAAGGTGTGAAGGTGTGAAGGTGTGTGTGTGTGTGAGTTTGTACGATTAGGTATAGTTGTCATTCATTAGGTCTTCTATTTCTGAAACCTTTGCCCAAAAAAAAGTGTAACTTTTCCCCTGCATATTCAATTTTATCAAATCTCTGTGCATGTTTGTGTGTGGGAGTTTGTGCGACTGAGAGTGACTGATGTTCCCTTTTCTCCATGACTGTTCCAGCCCATTTATTGAACATCTGTACAGTCTGTCGCTTTCGCTACATCAAACCCCTTTATCATACACACACACACACGCACACACACACGCACACACACACACACACACACACACACACACACACACACACACACACACACAAACACATGCGCACTTGCATTCTCGTGCAGACGCATGCATACCAGCGTGCATGACTGCTAAAACAAATACTCATTAGCTTCAAATTAAAAGCCTCTCAAGGATAATCACTACAGTGACGGAATCTTTGTAGGCAACAAAATCCAGCCCTCTCTCACACACACACACGCGCGCACACACACACACACACACACACACACACACACACACACACACACACACACACACACACACACACACACACACACACACACACACACACACACACACACACACACACACACACACACACACACACACACACACACACAACAAGACTAGTACTTGAATGTTCACAACTTGCTCAAGGATAATCACAAACTTAATATGGACTTTCTATAGGAAGACAGATAAAAAACCATGTAGGAACAAGGCATGTATTGTGTTGCTCTATGCTTCATGCCTTAGCGCTGATGTTGTCCTTGGAGTAGAAATGAAGTGTTGGCTGATTCTTGGAAGACGTATTATTCAAATAAAGGCAATAACAAATCCTATCTATGAGTCTTTGTGTAACTGTTTTGGTACACTGACTGTAAGTGTAGCAGGCAAATTTACTGCTAACCCTGAAACACTTCTCATCTTTGATGGTGCCAAAAAGCAGCTCATTAAAAGCTAACACTAGTTATTATCCTGCACCTTTGCTGCTCTGTTGAAAGGAAAGCTTGGAGGTTAGGTCAGGCAAGACATCAATGTCTTTTTGAATCACTGTTATGAGAGCGTTTAGTTGAAAGTGCATCTTGTTGAAAAAAGAAAGGGGACTTTTGGAAGATGAAGATCTTACATCAAAACACTTGCACTGCAGTAAGGAGAGAGAACTTGCTTTGAATCATGAATTAAATCTGTGGCGACAAAGATGAGCGTGTGACAAAACGGTGTAAATAATACTTGAGCTGTTTTGGAGCTGTTGAATCGGTTGTTGAGGCTGAGTGGAAAGCTAATAGAGCGCGAGAAAAAGTTTGGTCGATGTAGGAAAATGTTCCAGTGAACTACAAGCCCGGGTATCGATTTCAGAGAAGATCCGGGTTAAACACCTGCATCTCAGGTGCCTGACATGGCATGAAAGCTTTCTGTGGGAAGAATCAAATAACTATCCAGCTGAAAATGTGTTTTTTTTTCTTCTAAGGGAAGAAACTGGAGGAATCGTCAAATGGTCATGATTATATTGTCAATAGAGCAAAAAAAAAAAGAAGAAATACAATTTGGCAGCTGGATGTCAATAATGCCCCCCCCCCCTCTGTTTTTCAAAAATTAATTGATGCATTTAGAGTAAAAAACATCAACTGAAGCATGATTTGTTATAGACAGAAGCGATCCAAGTCCCTCCGACCTCTCAAAACTCCCAATCTGCAGGCTCATAATTTGGCTGATTGTGTAGAAACCGGATCATTAATTGTTTAGAGATGTGGCATCACACTCCGGGCATGCTAATGTGGGACCAGCTAAAAATTCTCTTTATTCTCGTCAGATAAAAGAATGGTCTCAGCTGTTTTGGATCACAGTGATAGCCAGTTCATTACATAATTCAGCAAATGTAGCACGTTTGTCTACAAAGGGATAATTGAATTATGGGGCTCTTCTACAGGGCAGGAACACTGAGCTTTCAGTACATGCCTAATAACCTGATTATCAAGGCTTAAAGAAAGGAACACAATGCCAAAGATTCCCTTTTTGTGTGTGTGTGTGTGTGTGTGTGTGTGTGTGTGTGTGTGTGTGTGTGTGTGTGTGTGTGTGTGTGTGTGTGTGTGTGTGTGTGTGTGTCTGCCCACGTGTATCTAGTTTGTTAACTTTTGTGGTGGTGCACTGTGAGCGTAGGTGTGATGCATATTTTTGTGAGCTAAACTGTCTGGTGTTCTGCATGTGTAGGTGGATAGCTGTAAAAAGTAGTCCATGCAAATGAATGAACACAAGTGCATGTGTGTGTGTGTGTGTGTGCATTTCCATTAGACTGTCCCCAATGCATCCGTTTAAAAATACATGCAGGGTGCAAGTTAAAGTAATAAATTCAATGTTAAGTGTGTCCAGTGCTTCTCCAAATTAAACCCTTATTGTTGGTAATTAACTCCATTCCATTTTGAGATTAAATGTGGTCTTTTTCGGGAAGGGAAACACCGCTGTCTCAACGTTTATTTAACGATCTGCCTCCCTCCCTCAGTCCCCACTCTCTCTCTCTCTCTCTCTCTGGCTTTCTCTTCCTGCACAATTTCATCAATTAACCAGCAGATGCATGAATGAGGAGGAGAAATAAAAGAGGAATTAGTCATTTTCCTCGTGTTTACAGAAGTGAGAAGATTCCTGCATTCTCACCTTCAGTTTGCCAAACTTTTAAGGAAGCACTTCCTCAAAAGCGTTGAAACAATGTAAGAGGAAGAACCAAAATGAAATTTGCAGACACGTCTTTAAGTTATAAATAACATGGGAGATGTAAAATTGAGTTTTAAGTGATTCTATTATATACGTTTGCAATAAATGTCACCGAACTTCCTCAGTCTCATAATAAAGTCTCTAAGACATGTTTTTAAGTGTTTTAATCTCATTAATTTTTGAAGGTTTTTCATTTAGAGGAACAAATCAAATAATGTAGTGACTCATCCTACAATCCTGTGATGACTTTAAACCTTGTCAGTTATCTCTCAGACCACAGGACTTGCAGGCGAAATGTTAAAGTAGCATCCAATACTTTGCTAAGGGTTCTGATTTCCTGCACCATCCTGCTGTTCTCCTGTATTGCTTTCAGTCCCCCCCCCCCCACCACCACCACCACCACAAGAAAACATATTAAAATCAGCTAATGCTCAGTATACGTCTGAAATTGTAACCCCGAGGTTTGTGGTCATGTTTATCAAATTACATTCTTCTTCCACATATTTGTCAGTCGTCTCTCAAGAGAGAGTGAAAGAGAAGAGGAGCCACACAAACACAAACACAAACACAAGCAGGCGGACGGGCTAAGATGACGGGAAACATCAGCTGTCCATGTGATTAGAAAAGAGCAGAAGAGCAGAATAACAAACGGACACATTTCTACGTGATTTGACAAGGCAGCGTGAACGTTTCCCTGCTTCTGTCTGAACCTTCTCATCCCAGCGGTACCAAACATGTTTTGTTTGTGTTTGAAATGCGACTGGGTGTTACCTCACTTCAGCGCTGTTGGCTTCTTGAGTGTCATTGAATATCCGCCACATTCCAAAGCTCTTAGACGAAACACTTCCCTTTGTGGAATCAAGCAGCTCTCTGTTAACACATTCAAACTTAGCAGGAGTCGCTGCATTTAAGAAGACAGAGAGCTGAAATGAACACTTTCA